CTCAGGCACTGCTGGTGGCACCCATCTGCCACCCCTCCAGGCACTGCTGGGTGGCACCCCATACACCCACCCTCAGGCACTTTCCAGCAGGTGGCACCCCCGCCACCGCCACCACCTCCAGGCACTGCTGGTGGCACCCATACACACCACACCTCAGGCACTGCTGGTGGCACCCATACCACACCTCAAGGCACTCCGGGTGGCACCCCATACCTGCACACCTTGGGCACTGCTGGGTGGCACCCATGCCACCACACCTCAGGCACTCGGGTGGCGCCTACACCACACCCTCCAGGCACTCCGGGTGGCACCATGCCACCACCTCCCAGGCCTGCTGGGTGGCACCCCACATACACCACACCTCAGGCACTGCTGGTGGCACCCGCCACCACACCTCAGGCACTGCTGGTGGCACCCACTCCACCACACCTCAGGCACTGCTGGTGGCACCCATGCCACACCACCTCAGGCACTCCAGGTGGCGCCGTACACCACACCTCCAGGCACTGCTGGTGGCACCCACCCTGCCTCCAGGCACTCCGGGTGGCACCCGCCACCACACACCTCCAGGCTGCTGGTGGCACCATACCACACCTCAGGCACTGCTGGGTGGCACCCATACACCACCTCAGGCACTGCTGGGTGGCACCCCATACACCACACAGGCTGCTGGTGGCACCCCATACCACCACACCTCAGGCACTGCTGGGTGGCACCCTACTCCACCACACCTCAGGCACTCCGGGTGGCACCCCATACCCCTCACACCTTGGGCCTGCTGGTGGCACCCCATACACCACACCTCCAGGCACTGCTGGTGGCACCCTCCCACCACCTCAGGCACTCCGGGTGGCACCCATACCCACCACACCTCCAGGCACTGCTGGTGGCACCCCATACCCACCACACCTCAGGCACTGCTGGTGGCCAATACGTACCCACACCTCAGGCACTCCAGGTGGCACCCCAAGCACCACCCAGGCACATCCGGACCACACCCCGGAACAACATCAATACACAGCGTACGTCACGACCCAACACCCCAACCCGCCACGCCCACTGATCGAGCCTGTCGGGGAAGAGGGAAGGAAAGTGGAAGAAGATGAAGGAAGAGGAGAAAAAGAATGAAAAGGAGGAGAAGAGGAGGAAGAAGGGTGGTAAAAAGAATAGGGAATGGAGAAAAAAGGAATGAAAGGTAAGCGTGAGTGGGCAGGAGGTGTAAGGAGAGAGAGAGAGAGAGAGATTCCTACATTAAATCATCAATCTGAAACTTCCACATCATCACCTACTAATACCAATAATAGAGTCGTCAACATATCATTAGTACCCACAACAACAACCAGGTGTATCTTCAACGTTGCCACCTTTGAAGAACCGAACCTAACCTAACCATACCGACAAGACCATGGTTATACACAACACTCCCTAGATACAAAACTCCTCGACGCCATTGTATACATTATAAACTGACATGGCTGGAAGATAAACGTCATTATTTATCATTTAATAATCTTCTACCATTTATTATCACGTCTTTCATTTATCTCAAGACTTCCCGTGTGAGATATCAAGGTTGTAGCACCATCACAGCCCACGACACTAAATACCACCATCACCACTATAAACACGCCAGCACTATCACCACCACTATCTCCTCCCTTCACCACCATCGCCAACATCACCCTCACCACCAAAGATGTTCTCCAGGCGGGCAGTGATGGAGACGGAGTTCTATATCATGCCCCAGCTGTTTAAACCCCCATAAACTGCCTCACTATCCTTCCGTCAACACACTGCTACATGATGGAGGGTGAGGGAGGGGTGGGAGAGGGTGAGGGAGAGGTGAGAGGGTGAGGGAGGGGTGAGATGGAGGGGTGAGAGGGAGGTGAGGGTTTGGGAGCACCATGGATGATGTTCCTCACCTCTCCTTCACCTCACCCAGCCAGGTATAATGACAGGTGCTCATCTCTCCACCCTTTAACACAAAACCTGTCCCTCATGTTAGTTATTTATCAGTAAGGTGCAAAACTATCCACTAGTTTATTTATATACAACAAACAATACTACTACTACGACTACTACTACTTCTAATAATGCTAATAATAATAACACTGGTCACCTTCCCTTGCCTCTGGGTCCTGTCCCCCCTAGTAGGCAAATTTTCCCTAATGCAACGTCTAATTTCCCTAGTATTATGTCTAATCTCCCTAATATTGCGTCTAATCTCCCTAATTGCGTCTAATCTCCCTAATATAGCGTCCAATCTCCCTAATACTGCGTCTAATCTCCCTAATACTGTGTGTAATTTCCCTAGTATTAATCTCCCTAATACTGTGTGTAATTTCCCTAGTATTAATCTCCCTAATACTGTGTGTAATTTCCTAGTATTGTATCCAATCTCCCTAGTATTGAGTCTTATCTCCTTAGTACTACGTCTAATTCCCTAAGTGCACCGTCTAACTTCCCTGGGTCAACGTTTCATCTCCCGAGTGGTTTGTACCGTCACTCTCCATCCTTACGCCATCCTTCCTCACCTCACAGGAAGCCGACAGCACCCGTCACTGCCCCCCAATGCACACCCCCACCAGGTAACCCCGCTACCGCCCCCGGGTACCCCACCACCCCCACCAGGTACCCCGCCACCAGGTATTCCACCACCGTCACCAGGTACCCTACCATGCCCCCAGGTACCCGTCAACACCCGTCACCCCCCCAGCAAGACGGTAGGGACCTGGGGGCAGGAGATGGGACAAGCGCACTACAAAGCCTCCGTCAATCAGCGGATCAAGCAAGCGGAAATATCCACTGCAAAAAGAATTGTGTCCTTGAAACCATGTCACCTCGGCCTACATACTGCTAAGGCCGTGTCAGTGTAAGCTACGTGTCCCCCAATCCCGGTCCTACTGAGGCCCGTGTCAGCAGGCAGCGACACGGGACAAAGGCAATCACGTCACGGGGGCAGGGAGGACCCGTTGACAACCTAGCTGAGGGGCTCGCTGACACCGACTGACGGACAACACACGTCATTTCCTCCTCCCCCGACTGACCATAATGCCATGTTAATTGACGTGACCCAAATTATTTACAAAAAAAATAAAAAAAAATAACTACCAACATGTTAATAATTCGTAATTGAAGCTTATTTATACAGCTTACTGATTGATAAAGCTTAATGACCCAAACAAAAGGGTAAAAATGAGAAAATAGAAATGAACGATAATAATACTACTAATAATAATAACAAACAGACGGACGATATTACTATTTAACAAAACACAAAAGCAAATCAACAAAACGAAAACAGCAGAAAAAAAAGAGATCCTTCAACACAAATGACAAAAAAAAAAGACGAGCAATAAACCTAATAATAAAAAATAAATAAAAATAAATAAAAAACAAAACAGGATGCCGCCCGATAATGACCAAAAATTATTACCAACTCAGAGAAAAAACACAATTGATGAGAAAAAAAAATGCCACGACAAAAATGTAAAACAGGACACAAGGACGATAGGCTGATAAACAATGTACAAAACGGAAATAAAACAACTGTCAGCATTATCATCATCATCATCATCATCATCATCATCATCATCATCCTCTCTCTTACACGAGTCGCTTAAGAGTTCTATCTCTCTCTCCCTATATACCTCAGTCTCCCCCTTCCCTCTTCCTTTCCCTCTTTCATCCTCCCTACCCTTAATTTCCCCTTTACTGTCGCCTACCTTTCATCCAGACTCTCATCATTTCCCCTCACGTCCCCTCTCTCCATAATCCCCTTCCCTCCTCCTCTTCCCCAACAGACTTCACACCTCTTTCCCATCTCACCCCCTCTCTCCCTCACCTCTTCACCATCACTCCCCCCCTTCTCTCCCTCACCTCCCTGGCGAGTTTAGGACACAATGTGGGTCTCTCTCAGCCCAGGGCTTTAGTAAGTCAGGCACAGGTCTGATGGCTCTCCCTTACTCCCACCCTCTCCCTCTCTCACCCCCTCCCTCCCTCTAACACGTGTTCCTTTCTCATCTCTCTCTCTCTCTCTCTCTCTCTCTCTCTCTCTCTCTCTCTCTCTCTCTCTCTCTCTCTCTCTCTCTCTCTCTCTCCACTTGTGCTTATTTACGTTCTCTCCCTCACACCTGAACACCCTCACACGCCATAACATGCAATTAAGTTATCATTACCACTATTATTACCTGACGCTTCTCGCCCCTAACATGGGAACGCCTGTCTAACACACACACACACACACACACACACACACACACACACACACACACACACACACACACACACACACACACACACACACACACACCACCGCCGCCCCACCCACACACTCGCAATCCCGCCCCTCCCACACACACAACACCGTCCCTCCCACACACAAACTCACAACACCGCCCCTCTCACACACTCACGGCGCCCACCACCACAAGTTTCCCACGCCCAGAGGAAACAGGAAGCAGCCCAAAAGTCAGTTAGTTAGATCACTTACCACTGGGCTTGGCTCTCCCCTTCCTTGTTTAACTCATCAATCCTAAAATATTACCCTTATATATCTCCTCCAGGAAAAATTCAGTCAGTCAGTCAGTCAGTCAAGTCAGTTATACCGTCAGTCAGTCAGTTATACCATCAGTCAGTCAGTCACTTGGTTGTGTGGAGGAAGACCAAAACCAGATCTCTCCCCTATTCTTTCAATAACTCCAAAGTCAACTCACTCCCAAGATTTTATAACTCCCACACTCCAAATCATCTCCCCCTCACCTCACCTCACTCCCATAAACTCAATCTATGTTTTCCTTCACATTCATCTACCTAATTCCCTTTACCTGAGCGTCGAATAATTACCTTTTTATTATCAATTTACCTCCTTTACTACACGTCATAGCTCAGCCTTTTTAATAACTCATGATCAAAAACTCACCTGAGGAACTTAATTCACTCCGATATGCTCCATCTTAATTAAACACACACACACACCAGGTACAGAGGCCAACACTTACATTTATTAACAGTGTTTTCCATGCTTGAGGCGGTGTCCAAACTGGGCATCTTGTGGTAATCAGGAAGCAGAAACACCAGTACCAGCAGAAGCGGCAGCAGCGGGTGGGTAGGAGTAAAAGCAGGAGTTCCCCGGGGGGTGGTGGGTGGGGAAGGAGGGGGTGTAAGCTCTTGAGAAGGACCCCTCCTCCAGAAGTACTGTACGGACTCCTGCTAGGCCTCACCACACACAGAGGAACAGAGTCTTAACATACTGGCGGTGGTGATGTCAGCGTCGTGGGTGTTAAAACGTTTCTCACCCCAGATCAAAAAAACAATCCCTAATCACTTCAGGGTTCCAGATGTAAACAAACACTTACGGTTGCTCTCTCACTTCACTCTGAGACACAAGTGTTTATACATACTGACCACCTAAACGTTTCTCACTATTTCAGCTTAATGAGGAAGATTCACCCCCAAAATTACAGATCACCAAAAGTGTTTCTCATCCTCTAAGCCAACACGTTTCTCACTAGTTAGATCACTACCACAAGAAACACACTTTCCTCCTCCGCCAGACAGACACACAGTAAATTTTTTCCTCTCGTCAGCCGCTTCACTACACCGACCTTAGCACCGAGACTAATTAACGTAAATAAAGACGATGTTATCTTTTTTTTTCTACACACCACACATCCTTGACTTGATCTCCTTCAAGTTATAACTCGCCCTCAGACCATAGCTTGAATCTGTTTACGACCTGGTCCTTGTAGTCGTAGCAGTTTAATTATGTGTCGTCGTAGTAGTAGTAGAATAATCCAAGTCGTTTTCGGTTGTGGTAGAGTTAATCCATGTCACTTAAATTTCAGGTAAAGAAAATCCAGCCAGTGTTAATCCGTGTCACTTCAAATCCTGGCAGAATAATCCAGAATTAGCCGCTTCCCAAAGGCTAGTGAAGGCGATGCAATCAATCGAGTCCCTGTGATTGCTCGCTGCTGCAGTCCCCTCAATACAGGTCACAGCGCATCACCACCACACCACTTTGTAATCTGTATCAAACATGGACTTTTCTATCCATCAATCGTGGTCTTTCAATCCAATTCACCCTCAATCGTGATCTAGTACTCGCTTGCAACACTCCTCTAACACGAATCACACCACCACTACCACCACACTAGTTAATATACACCAATTCGTAGACTTTCAATCCACCATCAACTGTGGCGTGTGCGAGTGTGTGTGTGGTAGCGACAGTTTCCCTACTCGCTGGGCCGCCACGTGAGGACCAGAATCCAGTGAGGGTATTGGAGGGAGGGAGGGAACATGACACACACACACTACCACCTCACCCCCCCGTGCCATCACCACTCCAGAAGCTCCACATCACCAATAGCCTTTAATCAATATAGTTGTGAATTCCACCAAGGAGCAAGAGGAGAGAGGGGGGTGGTTCTGCCTTGCTCTCGTAGTCTCCCAACAGACGTAAAGTGATCCTGGGGTGTAATTTGCTTTACGGCTTCCGCTGCTCCCCCACACTGGCTAGCCCGTAGCCTTATTCACGCTCCTACAACTTCCCTCCACCTCGTCCACCGTCGCACACTTAAAACACAGGTACCTCCTATCCAGGTGGGGTATTTAAATTTCACCTCGTCGCTACACACGCGCACAATGTTTACTTCTTGTATAACGGTGTGGAGTCGCTCACCAGCTTGCACGGGGAGTGGGGCCGATGCAGTCACATTAATCCATTAAGTTTTCTAAAGTGATTCACTGAGGTACGGGTAATGTGCGTGTGGGAAAAGATAGCGGGACACAGCGACCTCTCCTCAACGTACGTCACGGAGACACTAAGGTGAGTTTGTGGCCGCGCGGTTGATCCTGGCCCGGGCACAACGTTGCCAATTTCTCAATAAACAACCGAGAGGCGCCAACTCCCACGTTTTTGAATACCATTATTGGGAAAAGCATCTCACACACACACACACACACACACACACACACACACACACACACTTAATGGTCCTTATCCAATATTATCTTACCCATTACACACACTGATAGAAACACCGAATAACAATCAACGTTTATTAACATCTATTTACCGAAAAAAAATAATATAATCGTAAATTTCATCCCATTAAGACTTTATTTACGAACATTTCCTTGAACAATCATCTATTAGTATTCTCTCGACACACACACACACACACACACACACACACACACACACACACACACACACACACACACACACACACACACACACACACACACACACACACACACATATTGTGACTATTTCCTGAATTTCATGAATAAATTGTGAAACTTCTAACCCCTTCCTTCCTCTCCTGCACATTACCTCCATCCCTCCTTTATCAACCCTATCTAGTCTCTTGTCACTTGCACTTTCTCTTCCTTCCCTCACAGCCTACCTACCTTAATCAACCACAGCTACCACCCATTCCAGCCAACCAACCAACCAACAACCAACCACGATCTCTCTCTAAACCACATCAAACTAAGACACTAAAAACTATCACAACAGAAACCACTGCCAACTACAGAACTGATCCAATTTCAACCATAACCACAGCCAACCCAACCACGCACTGATCAGATTCACCATACTCTCAGCAAATACCAGCAGTAACCTTTAGAGTGGGGGAACAGAAGTCAGAGGGGAAAGAGGGGAGGGGGGAGGCAGAAGGTGTGAGAGAGGATGAGGGGGAGTAAAGGGAGGAAACACCGGTAGAGAGACTCCTCGTGGTACCTGGGAGGCTGAGGTGAGGCGGGGAGGAGGAGTGGGGAGGGGATGCAGTGAGGGGGGAGGGTGGTGGAGAGGATGGGGAGGGAGAGAAGAGGGGATAGCGTGGAGGACAGAGGAGAAAGGTAGAGAAGGAGAGAATGAAGAGAGAAGGAGAGAGGAATGAATGACGGGGTTATGGTAGGAAGAGAGGAGGGAAGAGGAGGTGGAAGATCAATGGAAGGAGGAAGTGAAGAAGGGAAGGAAATGAGGAAGGGGGGATGGAGGGAGGAAAAAGAAAAAAACTGGTGGATGAGGGAAGTAAGGGAGGAGAGAAGGAGTGAGGAAGTAAGGGAATAAGAAATGTTGTCTACGATGGAAGGAGAGGGAGGGAGGGGGAAAGAAGGAAGGAGGGGGGAGGGAGGGAAGGAGGGAGGGACAAGCGAGTCACGATCCATTACTCGCCATCAAGCCTCTGAAGATTTGTAAACAACCAAATGAATGGTGGTTAACGCAGGTAGACTGGTTGTTGCTGTTGTAGTAGTAGTAGTAGTAGTCATAGTGGTAACAATAGTAGTAGTAGTAGCAGCAGTAACACACACAATTAACTTAAGGGGCGTTGACGACACACAGCTGGGAGGGACCACAGTTGACGTAACTTACCAGGAAAGACGTTTAAGAAGGCACCATTTATCGCATTGTGTTAATAGATGGTGTAGTGGTGGGAATTGGGGTGGTTGGTGAATGACGTAATGGTGGTAGTTAAAGCGGGTTTGCTGGTGGGAATGGTGGTGGTGGGTTGGCGGTGAGGGTGCTAGTGGTGGTGGTGGGTTGCTGGTGATAGTAGTGGTGATAATGACAAAACAAAGGGTCTTCCCCGAGTGTTGTTGCCCCTCTTCTGTGTTACCTTCCACGTGCTGGTGATTTGCCCAACTCATTAAAGGGTCATTATACTCTTTCCCGAGAGAGAGAGAGAGAGAGAGAGAGAGAGAGAGAGAGAGAGGCTGGGACAGGGAGTGAGAGTGAGTCTAAGAGTAGTAGTGAGAGGGGGAGGTTGAGAGGGTGAGAAAGAGTGAGTGAGAGGGAGGAGTGGGAAGGAGCGAGGCGAAAGGGAAGACGCCGTGATAAGTGCCATCCCCCCAAAAAACAAACAAACACACAAACAAACAACAACAACAGTATCAGGAGACGCACCGCCATCATGACTACTAATAACCCTCAGCACCACAACAACCACCAGCATCATCCCTCCTAACTACCACCATCACCACCACCACCACTCACCACTACCTCCAGCACCACCACCACCACCACTACCTCCAGCACCACCACCACCACCTAACTCCTTGGCACTACCCAACCAGCACCTAATTAGCACGTCACTTACGGCGTGTGCCCCCCCCCCCCTCCCGTGTCAGCCCCAATGTTTACCAACCTTCCCTACACTCGAGGTAACCTGCTCACTGACAGATCAATTATGTAGAGATGAACACCACGGGAGAGGGGCGCTACAACTGTTCTCTACCTTCCACTGTAGCAAGGGAGAGAACTAATGTGGCGCAGGGAGTGAAATGGTGTAGCAGGGAGAACTACAGTGTCTGGGGAGAGAACAGCTGTATCAAGGGAAGAGAACAGCTGTGTCAAGGGAAGAGAACAGCTGTGACGAAGGGGGAAAACAGCTGTGCCAAGGGACAAGGGGAGGGGGCAATATGTCAAGGGAGAGAGAACACCTGCATCAAGGGTCAGGGGGAGAGAACATCTGTGTCAAGGGTCAGGGAGAGAGAACACCTGCATCAAGGGTCAGGAGAGAACACCTGTTGTCAAGGAGAGAGAGAGAACAGCTGTGTCAAGGGTCAGGGAGAGAGAACACCTGCATCAAGGGTCAGGAGAGAACACCTGTTGTCAAGGAGAGAGAGAGAACAGCTGTGTCAAGGGTCGGGGAGAGAGAACACCTGCATCAAGGGTCAGGAGAGAACACCTGTTGTCAAGGAGAGAGAGAACACCTGCATCAAGGGTCAGGGAGAGAACACCTGTTGTCAAGGAGAGAGAGAACAGCTGTGTCAAGGAAGGAAGCACAATGTGAGGCTAAATTGCTCTAACTGACTCAACCCACAACGAACCAAACCACACAGCAACCAACTCTAATACAACACAACCAGGCACTAAAATGCTCTGATTAGCTCCACCAAAGCCAGCTAACTGAACACCACACGAGAGAGAGCAACAAACTGGAGTGATAAAAAATATATAGCTCCACTCAAAGCTAACAGCACAAAG